CACCCCTTGGATTTGGGATGGGCTGGAGGAGGAGAGACCTCGATGGGGTTGGTGACATCACCTGGGAGGTCACCCCTTGGATTTGGGGTGGGAAACCTCACGTGGAGGGCACCCCTGGGATTTGGGGTGGGCTGGAGGAGGAGGAGGAGGAGGAAGAAAAGGAGGAGGAGGAGAGACCTTGGTGGCATTGGTGACATCACCTGGAGGGTCACCCCTGGGATTTGGGGTGGGCTGGAGGAGGAGGAGAAGCCTTAGTGGCCTTAGTGGGGTTGGTGACATCACCTGGGGGGTCACCCCTGGGATTTGGGGTGGGAAACCTCACCTGGAGGGTACCCCTGGGATTTGGGGTGGGCTGGAGGAGGAGGAGGAGGAGGAGGATGAGAGCCCTTGGTAGGGTTGGTGACATCACCTGGGGGGTCATTCCTGGGATTTGGGGTGCTCTGGAGGAGGAGGAGGGTGACAGGGACACCGGGTGACATGGGGGGGTGACAGGGACACCAGGTCACCCCATATTGGGTCTGGAGCCTGTCAGGAAGTGATCCCACCAAGCTGTAGCTGCAAGAGGTGACACCTGAGGGTGACAGGGGGAGGTGACAAGTTCAGAGTCTGGGACCGACCAGCCCCAGACCCTTTTGGGATCGGGGTGAGGGTGTGGAGGGTTTGGGGTCTGGGGTTGATCACACGGGCTTGTACCTACAAGAGGTGACACCTGAGGGTGACAGGGGGACAGAGGTTCAGTGTCACCAATGTCTGGGACCAGCTGTCCCTTTTGGGATCGGGGTGTTGAGGGTTTGGGATCACCCCGTGTGGGGTCAGGGGTTGGTCACTCCTTGTTGTAGCTCCAAGAGGTGACACCTGAGGACATGAGGGTGACAAGTTCAGTGTCACCAATTTGTGGGACCAGTTGCCCCTTTTGGGATCGGGGTGAGGGTGTGGAGGTTTTGGGGTCACCCCGTGTGGGGTCAGGGGTTGGTCACAGGGGGTTGTAGCTCCAAGAGGTGACACCTGAGGGTGACAAGTTCAGTGGGAGAGGTGACAAGTTCGGTGTCACCAATTTGTGGGACCAGTTGCCCTTTTTGGGATCGGGATGAGGGTGTTGAGGGTTTGGGATCACCCCATATGGGGTCAGGGGTTGGTCACTCCTTGCTGTACCTACCAGAGGTGACACCTGAGGACATGAGGGTGACAGGGGGAGGTGACAAGTTCAGTGTCACCAAT